GAGGGAGATGCATTGGCCAGTTGTCTTATGTGGGGAGCTCAAGGAAACCTTTGACTTGCATTCAGGAGACCTGAGTTGAAATAGCATTTCTGTCCCTAATTTGCTGTGACCTGGAGCACATCATTTTTACTTTAGGAGCCTTGGTTTTTTTCACCTGTAAATAGGAAAACTGAATTCCTCCAAGGATTAAATGCAATAATAACTCAAAGTGCCTTGCAGTAGGTTTTCAATAATATGTTTGCTGAATCGAAAGAAAATTACAACCAGTCTACTCTAAACCATCTGTCCTAGAAGAAGTATGGTATTGTAGAAAATACCAAAGAACTGATACATAATCTGTCTCTCCAGGGTGATTGCACTCATTTTAGGAAATTAGGATTTCATTTTTCTTCAATATATGAACCTTTGTAATTATGTTTTACTTTTGCTGTTAACTTTTTATATCATTTTAGGCTATACTCATTAATGCCAATCTGGAGTGACAACCTGATTATTTGGAAAAATTAGCCTCTAATGGAATGTTTTACATTTTACTTATGTCAGAAATTTGGTAGATGAGAACATTTTATAATTACTGAACATTTAACTTAAGATATTTTTGTTGGTCTTATTTGCAGAGTATCACTACATAGCCAACAAAATCTCATGACTGTCTCAAACCTTGGTGTCATATTTGGCCCGACTCTTATGAGAGCACAGGAAGAAACTGTGGCTGCTATGATGAATATTAAGTTTCAGAATATTGTGGTCGAGATCCTGATAGAGCACTATGAAAAGGTAGGCTGACTTTTCATGTGGAAGTGTCAGATTTTGTATCTTGCATTCGTATCATCTTGATTTTCCATTTGTACCATCTGTGAACTTCACACTGTGATCTCAGATTCCTAGAGGGGCAGTCTTATAAATTTTATATAAATCAGTTCTTGTGAGGATTTTGATTTTCTTTTTTCTTGTTCAGTTTCCAAATCCTCCCCAAAAACCCTCTGGGCAGATGGTTTCCTTTCCTTCTCCATCATTTACCTTTCAAGATTTTCTTTTGTAGCATTTATTATAATCAGTTTTTTGCTCACATTCAGAGAATACTTTAGAATGACTTTGTGGTTAAGTCTATTTTAATCTTTTAATCTCTCTGGAATCAGACTCTTAATTATACAGCAGAGGCGATATTCTAAATAAAATCAAAAGCAAAAATTCAGGAACAGAGTCTTGAAGTACTCTCTATATCCAGTCCCTCAGGAGGTTACTTTATAAGAGTGAGCTATTAGAATAACTATGGAAATTGGAAGTTGGGAAAGCCAGATTGATTGGCTTATTACCCAGGTCGACCACTGCAGGTCTAAATGGTCTGTGATGCTTTTGCATCTGATGTAGTCCTGGTGAGAGGGTGACTGCGCCCGTCTTCTTCCTGGGTCCCCTCCCTGCGCCCGTGGAGGAATGTCCTAATGCCCACCAAGGCGAAAGCGTCCTCGCGCCCGAAGAGCACGGGGCTGCATCCTGTAGCCGTGCTCAGACCTCGCCCTGCAGCTCCTCACATTTCTTGACAGTTCAGAACCAAAAGCACAGCAGCACCTTCTCCTAAGAAACAAGGGGCCCATTCTGCTGGGGAAATGATACAGGGTGAACCTCTTCCCAGAGGCTGTGTTCAGCATGAAGGGAGAAAGAATATCACCATGTAAAGGATCAGTGTGTCTCAGCACCAACATTTGTTCCCATTTGAAAGGTGCCTTAAAAGCAGTGGGAAATCTGAATGTCACTGTTGGGGAATGAGGGAGCGTAAAAAGGAAAAACCAGAGAAGAAACATTACTCAGTGTAAATGGGAAAGAAAGTTGTAATCATTCTGGGATTTGATTTTATTTGTTTATTTTTGGTATCAAGCATCTCTTGCATACAACTGATTAAGTAGCATATAATTCTAAGATTACTTAATAACTCTCAAAGCTGCTTCTGTGATGAAAATGGCATTTTCACCCCTTTGTTGACTGTGGTCCGCTGTCCCGTGCAGATCTTTCATACTGCCCCGGACCCCAGCATCCCTCTTCCCCAGCCTCAGTCTCGGTCTGGATCCCGGAGGACTCGAGCCATCTGCCTCTCGACAGGCTCCCGGAAGCCCAGAGGCAGGTACACTCCGTGCTTGGCAGAGCCCGATAGTAAGTGCCGGCCTTAGGGAGAGGCTTTCTTCATTCTTTAATTCAGCCTTTCTACCTCTCATTAGGTAGAAATAGAAGTTGTTTTCACTGATGCTATCACGCCAGTCCCTCCCCCACCCCTAACGTTTTATATGTTCTCTGTCAGCATAGTTGCAAGGTACCTTGGGCACGCAAATTCATTACTGCTACAAAGGAAATAATTAGTTTGCTCAAGCCCCCCCCCCCTTTTCTCCCTGCAACTGTGATTGAGTACATGAGGTGCTACTTCGTAGAAGGTTTTGTCCTATTGTCAAAGTGGTAGAAAAGAAAGCAAGAGAAAGTCTGGCTGAAGCAGCCGTTTTCTTTCTTCCTCTCACATTATGTTCTTAAAGCATCATCTCTTGGGTATCAAAGTATCTCAACGAGATTAAGAAAAGAAATCAGAGAAGCTACACGGCGCATTATCACTAACTTACTGCTCTGAGCCGGGCCCCACGATGAGATGAGTGGCAGCTTGAGCCCATAGCATGTGTTAAACTGTGGCTGTTTTCGTTTTATTGCATGTCACAAAGTCCCCCCCGATTTTTTCACAATCAATATTTAATAAAAAAACACTGTTTTTTTAACTTATACATATTTAAACACTCGATTGCAGTGTCTCTGATTTTTTTTTTCTTATACCTTACTTTTAGAAACATTAAAAAACACACCCAGTTAAACAGCCACTTTCTTACGTTGCTATATTCTTAGCAGGAAAAGGAAAAGTTCCTTTCTTTAAAAATAGAGGGCAGCTTGTAACTTGCGGCTGACATTTAATGGTGCCTTTGCACGGAGGAGAATCAGATGCACTGTAAGTCAGAATCACCTAAGATCAGACAAGTAATAAAGGGGGGGGCAGGAATAAATCTTCGATATCTGTTTCATTGATTTTTTTCTTCTGTTTGGTTGGTTTTTGTGGGGGTTTTTTGGTAATATCATCATGGAATCGTTTCTCTTCCTTGTGATTCCTGTTCCAGAATTTTGTCTGAATTCAAGTCAGCCCACTCATGCTTCAAGAAGTAACATTATTTCATAGGGCAGGGCACATATAAAATCTGCCTTGAATGGTATTGAAAAATGCATTCACCAAGTTCAAATGCATATTTTTAAAGCCTTTCTCCCGTACTAAGGACAGTTCTCCCTGCCAGGTAAAGGCCCACCACTTCATTGGGATCAGGTGGCCACAAAACCTGTGTGAATAGAAAGGGGAAGGGGTTTTGGTGGCGCAGTTCTCAGCAGAGAGCCACTGTTCTTCTCTCTCCCCCTCCTGCTCAGGCGACTCCTATAGCAGCAGCCCAGCCAGCACACCCATGGGGAGCATCGAGTCCCTGTCCTCTCACTCCTCTGAACAAAACCACACGACAAAGTCTGCTTCCTGCCAGCCCAGGGAGAAATCGGGGGGCATCCCTTGGATTGCATCCCCTTCACCTTCCAATGGACAGAAAAGTCTTGGTCTCTGGACAACTAGTCCTGAATCCAGTTCTAGAGAAGATGCAACCAAAACGGATGCAGAATCAGATTGCCAGAGCGTCGCCTCCGTCACTAGCCCAGGCGACTTTTCCCCTGCCATTGACCTGGCCAAGAAAGGGCCTCACGGGACTTCAGGACAGAAAAGAGCCTCGGCTACCTTTCTCAGATCCATCTCTACAGCCGAAGGTAAGCCCGAGGGGAGCTCATGCAAGATGTCACTCGCCGATTATCCCGCACTGTAAATCAAGGGAAACGGTAATGGTGAAGGGACTGACGCTGCTGATCTAGTTTGTCCCTGAGCTAGGATTTTTCAGACACTGGGCTGTGACTTTCTTCCTGGCTCTGCCTCTGTGAGGTAATGTCTGTAATTGCTGTCGATTCTGGTCTCCCTGAGTGATGGGCTGCCTTGCTAAAAGAACATTCTGTATCTTCTCATTTGCGCTCAGAGAAGAATGCTTGCTTTTGTTATGCATGTGTACTGTGTTATTGCTATTATTTTGTCTAATAACACCTTGCGTGTTTTCTTGGGCTTTCTTTTTTTAGGAAACAAGAGCTACAGTGGTTCCACTCAAAGCTTAACTTCCATAGGTTCCAAAGAGACGCCTAAAGCCCCACCAAACCCAGACCTGCCTCCAAAAATGTGCAGGAGGTTAAGGCCAGACACTGCCTCGAGCAATGGCTACCAGCGGCCTGGCTCCATGTGAGTGAGAGTTTGAATTTGCTGTGTCTGCCAGGGACGCATGGGGTCCGAGAAGTCCAAAGGAGCCCTTGGGACTTCGCAGCTGAATGCCTCATCCGGAGAGTAGATATAGTCAAGCTCTGAAGGACCCTTTTGTCTTCTAAAGTGATGTGGGAGCTACAGCAGGCTTAGGATATATATAAACAATCCAGCGGGCAGGCACGTCAGGCACTTTCCATACAAGGAGAACTATGGCCTAATTTAAGGACATGAAAATAGATGAATAATACAGTAGTTATGGGCTTTGTAGCTAGAAACCTTCCTATAAAAGCTACACATCAGCTTCTGAGCTGAGGGGACCGCTGTGCGAGGCCCAGCTCCCAGCTGCCCCCACCACCCACCCCTCTCAGAGCCCCGCTGCTCCCTAGCTGCGAAGCTTGGCTTCCTCGCATCGTCCTGTGTCTCCCCATCTGAGAACTCGCTGGTTTAAACAAGCTCACAGAGAACAAGGGGTGTGAAAGGCAAAAGGGAGTCAGTCCTTCTCATCAGGAGAAACGACCAGAAGTGTAGAGGCTGATGAGGAAGGGGCATAGGCTTGAACAGAAGGGGCGTCGAAGAGGAAATGGGAGCCTGCATAGACAACTAAGCGAAATCCGAAGAGGAAAAGCTCCGCTCCGCTCCGTTTATATTACTGACTTCTGCTGAGCGGCTCCAAATGCTGCGTTGGCTGTCACCGGGCAGCCTTACATGGGTTACCTCCTTGTGCAGTAGGTCATATAAACCTCAGTTTAGAGATGATGGGAATTGATACTCAGAAAATTTAAGGGTTACACAATGTTGTATGTCAAATTAAATCAATTAAAAGTAATAATAAAATTTAAAAAGGGAGCTTAAGGCACCAGTCCACAGACCCTCAACTAGTTAATGGTAGAGCTGGGATTCTAACCCAGGGTTCCTAGCTTGACTCTGTGCTCTATTATACTATGCCCATTTTTATTTTTATTTTTTTTATATTTAAAACATCATTTGTTTTATTTGTTTGTTTATTTCCCACTAAGATGCTTCATTTGTCTCTTCATATCCTCTGCCTTCAGGGCTCACTACAATATAATGTAATACAAAACAATACAATACAATAAATAGTTAAACTGTTCAGAGTTACAGGAACAACTATTACACTTATGCATACTACGCCTATTTTTAATATCATGGTATTCCTGACATTTAATTTTTTCCTCAAAATCCCAGTAAGATATTTTACTAAGCTTAGTTCCATACAGAGCATGCATGTTAAATTCATCCATTCCTCCCTTTCTCTGATACAAACCTTTTGGTTTCAGAGTGTGTTTAACATACATTATCTCTTTTGGTCAGAAATTCAGCTACCATAATATAGACAAATAGATTTGTAAACCTGTCTACTCAGCCACTAAGGAAGTTAAATTTTAAGCCAATATGTCAAGGGAGATGGGAGAATATAAGCGCCGTCCTTCACGAGGGAAAGAGAAGAGCTTCTGTTTTGTGATTGTACTGATAGTAAAAGAAGTTAATGAGAGAGCACGTGTTCTGAGTCAGGCGTCAAGGGTCCTTGAGATCATCAGATGGTTCAGTTCTGGGAGAAGTTCATCAAAGAGAGAAAATAGATTTTAAAAATCTAGTTTAGAATATCAAGGAATGAGATAGCTCTTCTAGTAAATAGAGAAACTTTTCTATTTCTAGAGGGTGTCTTGTTTTCATTCTTTTTACTCTCTACCTTATTTTATCACCTCTTTACAGACTGTTCCCCCCCCCCCATGATTTGAAACAGGATTTGAATCCACAAATTTCTTTAATGAAACTTGCATTGTAAAATTATTTTTCAGTGTGGCAGCAAAAGCCCAACTGTTTGAAAGTGTTGGTTCAGTGAAGCCAGTTTCTTCTGGGCGGTAAGTTTTCAAAACAAAGTAAAACATAAATAAAACCGGGGTGACGTTGTTGCCTTGTGTTGTCAGGGTGGGTCCTCTTTGACAGCTCTGCCCGCGTTCTGCAGGTGGTCAAATCCACATTCACTCTCTCTTCGTGGGGAACAGGTCCTGTCCGTAAAAAGTACTTAGTGTCTTAGACTGTTAGGGTGATGCTGCACCTGCCAACATCTTCACAAAGGAAGGGTTCTAAACAAACTGGCTTTCTAGAAGACACACGTTGCCATAACCCTTTGCATACGAGACTCCTTTGATAACAGTTTGTGAAAATTTTTCAAAAGTATAATCTTGACTTTGAAACCTATAGAGCTTTTTCTGGAAGAAGCTGGGTTTTTGTTTTTGGGGTGTTTTTTTTGTGTGTGTGTTTTCCCCCCAAAGCCTAGGAGGGCCCTCATGTGGTGTTAGTGTTTTTAAGTTCACAGAGTTGGCATCTTTCTAGGATGTTGGTCTGTGCATTGCGTTCATATAGTCGATTCTAGAGAACCTGCATGGATCTTACCCTTGCGGTAGCATTTTTACCTTTTTCCTACTTTACCAAGACTTAGTGAAAACTAGGCACCGTGCATGTCAAAGCCAACACCATTTACCTCTGAAACATCATTTTCAGGCCTTGCTACTTGTCTGTCCAGCCATATGGCTGAGTTGCTCCACTAGATGGAGCCCTTTTATTAGGAAGCTCTAAACAATCTATTAAGATCTCAAGTACCTGTAATCAGAGTTGTTCCCACAGAGCTTTAAAAAGGCAAGCTATTGAAGTCAATCAGGATGCCGTCACATCATAAAGATATACTCAGATGTTCAACAGTCAGTCTCTGCATTTTTAATAAGCTTTTACATTCTACATACTACTCTAAATCAACTTCTAATGGCTGTCAGCATAAACCTAGAGCTCACTCAATGGAACATTGAAAATTACAGGCTTTGTCAACTAGTGCACAGCACTGTGGACCATGTTGTAACTTTTCACCAGGAGACAGGGACCGAGGAACACAGCGGACCTCATATTCGAATTCTCGGTCCACCACTTCCTATGTGGATAACCTTGGAATTACATATTTAAGAAATCTGTTTTCTCTATAAAATGAAAGTCATAATTCTGTTTTTGCCTAATTGTTGTAAATTTCAAATACACAGCAATCTATTTGGTAAGTTCTCCACAGATGGTCTTTACAGTCACAACTATTATTGTTATGATAATTTTTATTAAAACTACTTTCTTAAAGTATTCAAGCTTCTAATTAATACATTAATAATATTTAAACATTAACTCTTAACAGTCATCTGATACTTTTTCTTATCATTCAGTACAGTGGAACAATAGAAAGAAGTTGAAAGCATTTTCCTTACTAATCTCTACAGTGTTTATTTCGTGTTCTTTCTGTGGAACTGAGGGTCACCCTTGAACTGGACCTTGAAGAATGCTAGAACCAGTAGTGCCTAGAAGGGAGACTAGCTATGTTTGTGAAAGAGACCAGTTAGGAGATTCTAGCGGGTGGCTTTGAGCCACAGAAAAGGAACATCTCTGGGAATCACTGCAGGCTTTGGGAGCCATTGAGCAAAGGGGGATCTAATCAGGGATGGGTGTAGATCATTTTAAGTGGCTTTTCTAGGGAATTGTGAAGAGAGTACAGTCAACCGTTTACGATGGAAGTGGTGAAATTTAAAGGCCTTAATTAGGGCAGTAACATAAGCATGGGAAGCAATAAGGAGGACTTTATGGATAGGATCAGGATTGGGCAACTGCTTTGATACTGGGAGCGAAAGGCAGGTGAAGAAGATTCCAAGAGTTTGAGGCAGAGTGTCAGAAAGAATAGCCATTCGGTTTCTGATCTCAGCTCATGAGTACATGGGGGAAAGGAAAGTTTTGGCCATAATGTTTGAGGAGCCTGAGCATTGAGAGGCAGTTAGAAATGTGCAGCTGGAACCAGGAGGCAGCCCAGTGGAGTTTGTCGTTTGAGGAACTTCTACACGGCAGTTACTCAGTGTAGATGAAGGTGGGGCTTATTGAGTGAAAAGGAAAAATAGTTAAGCATCGATTGCTCTTTGGGGAATGGTTTCACTTAAAGGTCCAGCCAAGAACAATGTGAAGGAATGAACAGAAGGAGCAGCATCATCAACATGGTAGAAGCTGCAAAAAAGTCAAGGAGACCGTTAGAGGAGGACGCTGGTTTTTAACATCTGAGACATATATTGTTTCTTTAGGATTTAAAAAAATATTATCTGTGTACATGTCTACTCCCTTCAGCAGTGAAACTCTCAGCACCCAGAAAGTGTGAGAGAGTATATGTGTGTGCTTATCATTGTTAAGCGGCTCTCCAGAAAACACGGTATCAATTTTGATTTGGTGGATTTTTTTATTTTCCTTATGATTAAGTACGCATTGCAGATTTTGCCCACTGACCGTATCAAACCTTTGTAAATCTGCTCATCAGCATTGGGAAGCATTTAGCATTGGAATGGGGCTTGTGATCAGATCGCCTTCCATAGGATAAGGGAAGAAGTGGCTTTCAGGACAGGAAATGTTATTACCTTACTCTCCCATGCAATAAGAAGCAGGATTTTCAAAATCCTTTTCAAAGGATATTAGAATCTTCTGGAGAGTGAGTAGGTGACAGTGTTATTTTCACATCTTCAATACACCAAGGCAGTCAAAGAGGAAGCATTAGCACCTGGAGAGAAAACTTCACTGTCACAGAAGTCTGCATTAAATCACCAAGCCCTCTGCCGAGTTAACACCTGTAGTTACGGAGCTCAGCAGAAGAAAATTACACCTGTNATGGTAGAAGCTGCAAAAAAGTCAAGGAGACCGTTAGAGGAGGACGCTGGTTTTTAACATCTGAGACATATATTGTTTCTTTAGGATTTAAAAAAATATTATCTGTGTACATGTCTACTCCCTTCAGCAGTGAAACTCTCAGCACCCAGAAAGTGTGAGAGAGTATATGTGTGTGCTTATCATTGTTAAGCGGCTCTCCAGAAAACACGGTATCAATTTTGATTTGGTGGATTTTTTTATTTTCCTTATGATTAAGTACGCATTGCAGATTTTGCCCACTGACCGTATCAAACCTTTGTAAATCTGCTCATCAGCATTGGGAAGCATTTAGCATTGGAATGGGGCTTGTGATCAGATCGCCTTCCATAGGATAAGGGAAGAAGTGGCTTTCAGGACAGGAAATGTTATTACCTTACTCTCCCATGCAATAAGAAGCAGGATTTTCAAAATCCTTTTCAAAGGATATTAGAATCTTCTGGAGAGTGAGTAGGTGACAGTGTTATTTTCACATCTTCAATACACCAAGGCAGTCAAAGAGGAAGCATTAGCACCTGGAGAGAAAACTTCACTGTCACAGAAGTCTGCATTAAATCACCAAGCCCTCTGCCGAGTTAACACCTGTAGTTACGGAGCTCAGCAGAAGAAAGTTACACCTGTCTAGACACATGCACAGATAATTGAAAAGTCATGACAGATTTTTTTTTTTTGGCTGTGTATTTTTGACACATTTAACAATATCCATTTATTTAGTGATATAATTCTTCTGCTTGCCTCCTCCTGCCATTATAAAATGCTAAAAAGAGAACTTTCATGTCTGAAAGATTAATAATAGTTGCCTCTTAAAGTGCAGTTTCAAAAATTATATCATTGTAAGGATTATTGTATCTTAATCATTTCTGTAACTGGAAATTATGCATCTCTTAATTTATTTTAAGGATGCAAAGCACTAAGACTTAATGTTTATTAAAAGAAATTATTGCTGTTAGGAAATTTGAATTCTTGAAAAATATTTACATATTTTTAAAGAAATGACTCTGTAACCCTCAGTTATATCAGATATTGGATCAAGTGATTATATTTGACTAGAAGATTTATAAGGAAAAAAACTAATATTTTTTTCTACTTAAGATTACTGTTGTCTGATTCTTAGAAGTCTTCAGAACTTGGTAGCTCCTCTCCCAACCTCCCATCCATGTCAACCAGCACACCCATGTGAACGCGTGTGCACACGCACACACACATGCAGCTCTTGACTGTAAGGCCCTGTCTTTCTCTGGGTGCCTCTGTTTCCTCAGTTCTTAAACCATGTTTCCTTGGAATGGGGGCTGGTGGTCGTCCCCAAACCTGACTGCTGCAGGCTCCCCTAGCAAACTGCCTGAAGGTACAACCTGAGACTCACCTCCTGTGAAGCCGACTCGGGGGGCAGGGCCAGGGTTTCCCTCTATAAGCTTTCCAGCCTTCAGATAGCCACCTGCGAACCCCGGTCTCAGTGACCTGGCTTCCTCCGGGAGTGCAGAGGTAGATCCCTGATCTCGCTCCAACGGGGAAGTGAAACAGCGTGACCCAGGTACTTTGAGAGATCTGCGTGGCCAATGCAGCGATGCGTGTTTGCTGATTTAGTGCTGGGACCAAAGGGAGGAAAGACAAGGCCCCTTGAATGTTTAAAAGGGCTCATCACATAGAAAAAGAGCCCAGAACAGTTTTCCTCCCCCTCCCTCCCCTTCTCATTTATTCAGGAAATATTTCCTGAGTTACTACTGGGCAGCAGGCATTGTTCATGGAGGCTGCACTCCAGTGAGGAGACAGGATGACAGAATATCAACAAGAACAGCAGAGTAACGGATGCCCTGCCGTGCGGACTCAGGAGGGGGTGGTTCTTGCCCAGGCAGCCACCTTAGAGTGTGGTCAGGGAAGACACGACCTTCAGCCGAGCTCGGGAAGTGTCGGGTGAACTGGAAGCGCATACATAGCACGCGAGGGGCAGGAGGAGGCCCTGGCAGGCCGGGCCCAGGCGCCCGAGGCGGGGTGGGTTTGGCCTGCCCGAGGGTGAGGAAGGCGCGCGCGGGAGCGGAGGCCCGAGAGCTACCGGCGCCCGCCTGTGTGCGGCATGCGGCCGGCGGTGGACACCTGCTACAGGGCTGATGTCAGGGACGCAGCACAGCCCTCGGAACCTTCTCCAAACGGCCGTCCGGCTGCTCTGTAGAGAATGGATCGCAAGGCGATGGAATGGGAAGCCGAGAGGATTCAGGGTGGTGGGAAGCCAGCAGCAGGTCACACCAGACATGATTTTGGCTTGGACTCTAGTGACGGTAGAGAGGGTGAGAGGTAGGTGGAGTCAGGAGGAGTTCCACGTCTTCCCAAGGTAAAGGGATTTTGCAGAGTCAACGTGACTCGACTGATGACTTGATTAGTGGCCTCAGATGACGGTCTTTTAGTGTTGGCTCAAATGTTTCTAAGTGGAACTCCTATAAAACTCTGAAATTCTGACTTCTCTGAGAAAACCAGAGTGTCTGGTTATATGGAACCTGAATTCCCACGTGGTACAGATATTGGGAGCTGAGTGTTGGCTTCCCTTTCTAAGAGATGGGCATACTCCCTGTCTGTCCCCATCACTGCCCTGGCAGTGAGGCTACTCTTGGTGGCCATTTATGAAGAACTTATCCACCATGCCTACCTAACTCATTTACTACACCTTGTAGACCTTTTAATTTGGGGATCTCACCTCTGGTAAGCTGAAATAAAAGTGGCAAAAAAAAGCTTTAGGGTACCTGTGACCCTCTGTATAGCTGCAAAAACAGCTTATTTACCAATAATTGAATAATAATATTCTTCAAAACAACCGTAGGCTGTTTGTTATAAGCCAGGTGGTAACCCTTGGAGGCATTGCCTGCAAACATAAGGGCTTTGGGTTTGCTCTCAGTGTTTTCTGATTACACATGAGGGTTCAATTTGTGAAAAAGGCACTTTGCACACTTCCATGTGCACTTTGTATATATATTCCTCCAATCACAACTAAAAATATCATTTTTAAGAATAATTTGAAGTTTAAATGTATTTATTTTGAGTGTTGTGGTTTTTACAAATCGTCTTTTGTCCTTTCAGCCAAGCCAAAGCCATGTACTCCTGTAAAGCAGAACACAGCCACGAGCTCTCCTTCCCGCAGGGGGCAATATTTTCTAATGGTAAGTGTGCCCATTGCCTCCCCTTGAGGAATAGTGTAGAGATAAGAGTCTAAAGTAGAAGCCAGGGACTCAGAATCTAGTCCAGGCCCTGCCTCTCATGGCCTGCACCAATGAACACATCAAGTGCCTCGGATCCCAGTTTCCTCCCCTGTGTGTGCTCGAGTGTGTGTGGTGGGGACGGGGCAGGAGGGGATCGAGGGTGCAGGGAGAGTGGGAGAAATTGGCTGGTTGATTGATTACATGAATGCAAAGGACATTTCTCGCTTTAAAGGAGCTGTGACATTGTTTTGATTAGTGTATGCATGCAGTCATGTGGATTCCTGCCCATTTGCGTATATAATTATTTGAAGCTAATGTTGATTGAGTGACATTAACTTTTTAATTTTTTGCCAGTGTACCCATCAGTGGAACCAGGATGGTTGAAGGCAACTTATGAAGGCAAAACAGGACTAGTTCCAGAAAATTATGTTGTCTTCCTCTAATACTATTTAGCGGATGGCAGTATCTTCATGGTATCCATGGTAACAAATAATAAGTGCTATGATTTTATCTGACACAGATATGGGGATCAGCCCACTAAATGAAAACAGCCAATTTCTGTCAAGTCCTGTACCAGCAGACTACGTAGCTCCCTATTAATGGAAAAGAAAAAAAAGTTTAAATTGTCATTCTTTTAATTATTTGGCTAGTTTCTTATTTAAAAATATCTTTAACTCTCCACAATGTCTCTTCCATAGCAATTGAGAATTTCAAATACTGTGTAAGTACTATATCCCAGAAATCTGAAAACTAGAAATCTGATATAAGGATTTTGGGATCTGCCCTTAACTGTCTCGCATTCTCTTAGGAACCTTGAAATCATTACTTAAAAATGTAATTTAAATTGTTCATTTATTATTTTTTCTTAAAAATATACTGCTTTTATATATGATTGTTTTGCTGGTCCTAAACATTTCAAGAAAATAAGGGTTTTTTTAATGTAACTTTATTTTTGTTTACCAAGTAAGGTGATAATACTAAAAAGCAATGATGTATATGATGTCTGTAAATGAAGCCAAATTAAGTCATACACTGAGTCCACTGTAAACACTCCATGCAGCATTCCGGACACCTTCCGAAGGCTTTGAGCAGGGATCAGCAAACTATTCCTATAAAGGCCTGACAGTAAATACTTTGTCCTTTGCAAGCCCATAGTCTCCATCACAATATTTAACTCCGCCATTAGCCTAAAGCAGCCATAGACAATAAATAGATGAGCATGACTGTGTGCCAGCACAGCTTTATATACAGACCCTGATATTTGAAGATCACATATTATCACAAGACACGGAATAGTCCTCTTTGACTTTTAAAAATCCACTTTAAAATGCAAAAGTCGTTTTCAGCTGCTGGGTCAAACAAAAATAGGCAGCAGGTCAAACGTGACTCATGGATCATGGTTTGCTGAGTCCTGATTTAGAGGATGCATAAAACTACCTTTATAACTTAGGGATTTCTATGCAATGTTACCACATTAAGATATAAATACTGATAAATCATATGCACATATACTCTGCTAGTAGAAGAATCATAACGGCATCACAAAAGTATAATTTCCATAAGAGGAAAACAATGTGATAGTGTAGGCTTACAACTTAAGTTCTACTTGTAACACTCAAGTGTCAAAGAATTTTGCTGATACCTAATTTTGGCTAATGAGAAATTCTCTACACATGATAAAGAAATTTTTAAGACACTAGTAGAGAAGCTTTGCCTTCAAAAGTCTGTGCTTAGTTAAAACAGAATTTAAACTTAAAGGTACAGGATTCTTAACTGATTTTTGGACCACAAAATTTTAAAATGGTTTTATCATTTTTAGCAGGAATAAAATGTGTACATGATTTTTCTTAAATGCCATTCAATTTACAGTCTTTATTAGGAATTGCACTGAATTTATAGAGTATAGAAATTAACTACCCATTTATATATACCATCAACATCTGGCCACACATTTCTATTATTTCAACAATTCTATTTCAGTAATTCTGGCATATTATTTCTACAAATATTTGCATGTGGCAAAGAGCCTTTCTTCTCAAGGTTTCAAAAAGCTGGTTACCTGCCATTTAACCGTCACCGTGCTGGCCCATTAGGCTCTATTTTCCTTGTTACTTCAGAGTTCTCCACTGTAGATGCTCAGGTATTGACTGTATAAAACTCTCTTTATGTGATATTATAATCTGTAATCTCAGTCTCTTCTACTTTAAATTAATGTTTCTAGAGTTAATAGAGTATACGCTCACACACACGTACACAACTATGCCTTGGAGCATTTATGCTTTTCAAATAAAAATGGAAACATAGAGTAGAATTTAAAAGTAAAGAGAATAACAGTAGGTGGAGTCACAACCAGAAGTAAATATCAGTGCATTGGAATAAAAAATATTTAACGTTATAAAAATTAGTAATATAATGAAAAAATCTGATAAATGGGGTTTATCTTTCCTTTGCTGTTCATTTTTTGGACACAGTAATTGAGTGTTGCTGGAGCTTCTTGATCTCTGGATCCTGGGTGGCCCTTACTAGTAATAATAGCATTGCTGACACCCTTGACTGCCCTCTGCTGGAACAGAAGGTTTTCTTTCCAATGTACCCACCAGTCCCTTAGTCCTTACAACACTCGCAGTGTAAGTACCTTGCCATCATCTGGCAGCCTACCAAATTAGAACCTCTTAAAGCAAATTGATTTTCTTTCAAAGACCAACTTGACTCCAAAAAGAGATTCAGAATTCTACTTCACTTACTGCTGCATAAGGAAAGCTCACCCTTCATTTTATTTTAACACAGACCAGAGTATTCCTGCCTCCGAGTTGTCTGTGAGCTAATTCGTCCGATGCTCGGTCAGAAATTAAGCTTTTGCTGTCTAGGATGTGGGCGTGAAGCTCTCCTCCTCCTGGTGAGGCCTGTCTTGTGGCCGTACTTGCTGTGGAAGCACGAAAGTGCTTCCTCAAATTGTGTTTTTGTTTGAAGTTTTAATCTTACAGATTTGTGAGGATGGTTCTTTTTTCCTCATACCAATTACATGTATAAGCAAGTCATGGCCATACGTTGGAGAGAGACTACAGCTGCTTTTCTCAAGAAGTACATTTCCTGCGGATAAGATATTTATGAGCATAGAGAAAATGAAAACCTGTGCTCTAAACCACAATATTAATCGCACAAGAAGATAATGCCAGTCATTGGAAGATCACATTCAAAATTGTAACAGCATTTCAACAATGAAACCTTAACTTTTCAGAGACCATGTGAAGTTCAGTTAGAATTGCTACATCCACAGCTCCAAGCACACAATGCGGACACCCTGAGCACTGGTTGCAATATGAAGATGAGATGGATGAGCCTAAGTCATCGTGTGCGTTACGTGAAAGCAGCCCCAAGTGCAAAACATTTATGTATTTAACAGGTGACTCTTGTGCCATAACTCTACCAAGTTTAAAGAAACTAGTCTGTCAACTGAAGGCTCTTTCTGTTCTGTGAATATGTATGTCTGAACAGTAAAATAATGTTTGTATTCCTGTGAAGTCCACGAAGTGTGAGGAAGTACCACTTCTCCCTGAGTGATGCGAGTGCTCTCCTAACTGCTTTGCAGCACGAATGAGAGTGACCAGGTTTCTCAGCAGTGGCTTGACTGCTGCCTCTTTCAGGGATGGTGCAGGAAAACAGAGCACCTTCCAGTCCTGAACGATCCAGGTTCCCAACTAGGAAAAATAAAGATACATAATCACTTTTATTTCATTCCTATTCTGGATATTTGGTTTAAATCTTGTGGCATGCTTTCTAAATTTCCACTGCGTTGTAAGGAAAATAAACCTGGCACCTTAATCCCGTGACGGGAACACTTGCTGAGCTCCTCCCAGTCTCATTCTTCAGGCTGTGTCTGATGTGAGAAAGGGTACCATCCACACTGATGCTGGCGCAGAGGAGTCCCATAGAGCCTGCCTTCGACAACTTCACTGTGTAGCGAACCCCCTGAGTTAGCATCTAAAACCCCAATTTGATTTACACTTTATTGACTGAAGTTAGAGGCAGAGCAATTTAGGAACAGATTTTGTTCTTTGGTTTTAAAATATAAGTTGCAGCTGTTACTCTGACCTAAAAACACTGGGTGGGACCCACAAAACATATCTCCTGGTAAAGGAAAAACAAAACAAACAAAACCAGAGACTTTACAATTGTCCAGAAGTTATCTTGCTCTTGACTACAAGTTTTTCACTTAGACTAGAAATTGCTGTTTAATTTTGCCTCCTACCCTTTTTGGTTACCTTCCAAAATCAAAGCACATTTTACAAATGAGGTTAATTTAACCTTTCTGAGTAGAATATATCCCGGCTGTCTCCTGTTGACCCACAGACTTAATATCAGTTATTTATCAACTAGTCTCACATCTCTTGAACACATTCCTTGAATCCACCCATTGTCACCAGTATCTTCCTGCTCAGATGTGCCAGTTCCACTTGGGAGTAACCTTATACAAACCCAGGCTTATGAGTGACATGGACTCTTAGAGGATCAGATCAATAAATAGGATTTTTTTTTAGGGCAGCTGCACCTACTGTTTTAAATAAGGAATCTCAAATAGAATGTTGACCACACTCACAGCAAGCCAGGCAGAAAACCGATCTACCTATTCTAGGCCAGTGTTTAGAAGCAGTTGTATGAGGTACGGAGTCCAATAGGTCCTCACTTCTCCGCCTGGCACCCATGAGAAAGATGCCGAGCTCAGAGCTGAGTATTTCTCGGTGCTAGAGGGAGAGATGGAGTCTGTGTGCTTACTGAAGAGTCCCAAAAGGCAGGAGCCATTTAAAATTATTACAGACATAGCCTCTATCATCATAGATGTTTGTGTACAAGGCTACGTGAGGAACTTAAGTATCGGAGGTGGGTGGGGGCTGAAGGTGCCAAGACCACCTTAATTAGAAGACCATTTCCTCCTCTCTCGTATTATCTGCTTCTTCTCAGCAGTGTTTCCCACGGTCTTCACCCTTCCAGGGTTGAGAGCAACCCAGCTTTGCCTTGAATCCGCTCAGTCTCTTAGATTAAAATGTGCATTTTTCTGTATATGGCAGCATGGTTAGAGGTTTTATGTCTGCCTCTGTATCTTCAGTCACCTCTCTTTTACAGAGCACACTGCCTACACGTGATTTATGCTTAAATTCAGAGGTATCACCACATATTGAGAGCTGTGATTTCAAGATTCTTCTTGAATTCTGAGCTGAAACCTTTACAAATAAATAGGGAGTTTGTCAGGGAAGACGACTGTTTTTTTAAAATTCAGAATTCTATTTATATACTGTTAAAATTAGAGGTACTATAGTTTATATAAAATTTGAATATTTAGATATTATATTTCAGTACTAGGAATTTCTTTGCAGCCATTAACATGACAAATAAAATAATAAATATGAAAATGACAGTAAATTATCATATTGAATTTTTTGTTTATTTTGTAGTGTTTCTGTATTTATCTGCACTTTGTGTATATATATATACACACATACATACATAAACATGTAAATAACCTTATGTTATTCCTAATCTAAATTGCCACAATATTTTTGATGTATGTTTACACTGTATTTTAAATTACTTTAAAAATAAATGATGTAAGCACATTTTAACTTAGTCTTTGTACTTGAAGACCTACTGTGTTGGAGGGCGGCTGTCTTGGATGCATATGGAGAAAAAAGTTTCAGGTACTGTGAATGGTCATTTTGGGTGTGGCTGAGTGGAAAATCATAACTTTTTCTTGACAGTTGAACTGTTTCCTGAGAAGTTGGCATTATGAAAGATCAGGAAAACGTTAATGTTGGTACCTATTGATAATGCAGGTGTCTACAGGAGAAAGAGGTATACAGGCCGTAAACAAAGTGTCAAGTATAATAGGTATGCAGGCTGACCTGGAAATATGTTTGTAAAAGTTTACAAGTGTATTATTGAAGAAGTATCATCATACAAATACCCCCTTAGATTTTTACTAATTTTATGACACTCTTGGTCACTATTTTACTTCTAGCTAAATTTTGCCTTTCTGTGTAAAAAAAAGGGGACATGTATTTTATGTTGCTAAATTGATTGCTAAGAGTGCAGCAAATCACCTAGCAAAAACTAAGCCTGACAAGTTAGTAACAGGGCTTTTGGGCATACAACCTGATTTTCTCAAATGAATTGTAGATTTTATTATCAGAGGAGAAATAAAATCATGACACAAGGATGTGTTCTCATCAAGATGGTAGCGTAGGTAAATGTGGTACTTGAATCCTCCCACAACCACATCAAAATTAAAACTAAACTGCAGAACAACTATCATTCAGAACTGTCTGAAATAGCCAAACAGAAGTCCTACAACTAAAGATATAAAGAAGAAGCCACATTAAGACTGCTAGGAGGGCAGAGACACAGGCTGGTCCTACATCCACATGTGGCAGATAAAAATCTGGAGGGATATCTTAGATACAGAGGTCCCTCAGCCAAAGCCCCCTAACCCAGGGTTCCAGTGCAATAAGAAGTCCCCATAACCTCTGGCTCTAAAAACCAGTGGGGATTGAGGCAGAGTGAGACAGAGGGCTGCTGGAGCTCCAGGCCTTCCTGTTAAAGGGCCCAAGCATGAACTTACTTGCTCTGAGTTCCAGTGCTGGGGCACCAGGGACACATGGGGAGGAGTTGAGTTGTCTGGCACCAGGGCAAAAGCTGGAGGAACAGCTTTCTCCCAGATAGAAGTGCTGACAGAGGTCACTGTTCCTTTTCTGGTCCCTCCCCTCACAGAGCAAGTGAGTCTCCATCAACCTGGCTAACACTGCTTGCCCCACCCTGGTGATTCCCTGAGACCCCACCCAACTTGTGGGCCCACTGAGCAGATTCCTATGACTTTTCCATACAAGCAGGCTGTCTTTATGGAAACAACTCCTGCTTTGGACTTTCCTAAAATTTCTCAAACAAGCAGCATCTGGCCTTGGTGTGCCTTGTACCTCTCACTAAGGGGCCCCAGGCCTGACACTAGCAGCAGCTGACCTTGGTTTGCAGCTTGGCCTCTCCTGGGCACCTCCAAGACCAGCACAAATAGCAGCCATTTGCAGATCACTCTGTAGCTCAAGCTGGATGGCCTGGGCAGGACATAGGTGTGAGCTGACCTTGATTTGCCCCTCTCAGGAGGCCCCAGAGCCAGTCGACCAGGTGGACAGCTTCAGAACATACCAAAGCACCGCCCTACCTCCACAAGAGACTCACTCAAGGAGTGGCCTCAGCAGGTACCAGTAAGGTTGCTCTGTGTGGTTCGCCCTTGCACAGTTGATCCCCACTGGTGGTCGTAGCCAGTCCTCACAGCCAGTCGGCCTGGGGGTAAATCCTTCCCATTGAGGTACCAACAGCAATCAAGGCTCGACTACAGCAGGAGGGTTTACACTGCCCACGATAGGGATGCGCCTGGAATGCCCAACTTGGGTGATTGAGGAGGCTGTTCCACTGGACCCTACATGACACCCACTAATAAGGCCATTTCACCAAGCCCAGGAGACATAGCAGCTCTACCTAATACATAGAAACAAATCCAGGCAGCTGCCAAAATGAGGAGACAGAAACATGTCTCAAAGGAGCAGAACAAAACTCCAGAAAAAGAACTAAAAAAATGTAGACAATCTCCTAGATACAGAATTTAAAAACACTGGTTATAAGGATGCTCAGTGAACTTAGGGAAAGAGTAGATGAACTTAGTGAGAACTTCAATAAAGAGATAACCATAAAAATGGAGATAGAAAACAAGAATTAGTCAGAAATGAAGAATACATTAAATAAAATGGAGAATACGTTAGAGGGAGTCAACAGAGGAGCAGATGAAGCAGAGGGTTAAATCAGAGATTTAGAAGATAAGAGTTGAAAACTCCCAATAGAACATCAAAAAAGAAAGAATCCGAAAAAATGAGGTAGTATAAGGAATCTCTGGGACAACTTCAAGTGTGTCAACATTTGCATCATGGGGTGCCAGAAAGAGAAGAGAGCAAGGAATTGAAAACCTACGTGAAAAAATAATGATGGAAAACTTCCTTAACCTGGTGAAGGAATAGACATGCAAGCCCAGAAAGCACAGTCTTAAACAAGATGAACTCAAAGTGGCCCAAACTAAGACATAATTAAAATGCCAAAGGTTGAAGACAGAATCTCAGTAGCAGCAAGAGAAAATTGGTTATCTACAAGGAAGTGCCCATAAGACTGTCAGCTGATTTCTCAATAAAAACTTTGCATGCCAGATGGATCTGCCAAGAAATATTTAAGGTAATAAAAGCAAGAACCTACAACCAAGATTACTCTAGCCAGCAAAGCTATCATTTAGAATCAAAGGAAAGATAAAGAGCTTCCCGGACAAGAAAAAGCTAAAGGAGTTCATCACCACCAAACCAGTATCAATAAATGTTAAAGGGTGTTCTTTAAGAAGAAGAAAAAGATAAAAAATATGAATAATAAAATGACAATAAACACATATCTGTCAGCAACCTAAGTACAAATGAATTAAATGCTCCAATCAAAGGACATATGAAGGCTGAATGGATAACAAAACAATACCCTTCCATATGCTGTCTATAAGAGACCACCTCAGATCAAAAGACACAGACTGAAAGTAAAAGAACAGAAAAAGATATTTCATGAAAATGAAAACAAAAGCTGAGGTAGCAATACTTACACTAGACAAAATAGATCTGAAAGACAAAATAAACNAAACAAAAGCTGAGGTAGCAATACTTACACTAGACAAAATAGATCTGAAAAACAAAATAAACAAGCAAAACAGAAACAGACTCATAGATACAGAGAACACTTTCATGGTTGCCAGATGGGAGGGGGTTGGGGGAATGGGTGAAAAAGAAGAGATGAAGAAGTGCAGACTGATAGTTACAGAATAGTCATGGGGATGTAAAGGATAGCATAGGGAATTTAGTCAATAATACTGTAATAACTATGGTGTCAGATGCATACTGGAAATATTGGGGTGATCACTTAGTAAGTTATGTAATGTCTAATCACTGGGTTGTACACCTAAAACTAATTTTATATTGTATGTCAACTGCAATTGAAAAGTAAAAAAATATTTAAAGTAAAAAATAGCCTTGGATGGATGGCTCAATTGGTTGGAGTGTCAGCCTATATACCAAAAAGCTGCATGGTTGATTCCTGGTCAGGGTGTATATGGGAGGCAACCAATTAATGTTTCTCTCTCACATTGATGTTTTTCTTTTTCTCCCATTCTCCCTTCCTCTCTCTCTGAAAATCAATAAACGTATCCTGGGGTGAGGGTTAAAAAAGTAATAAAAAATAAAGTAAAAATTATGACACCAAACCTGTTGAAATAAAAAGATTACTGTGAATAATTTCCAGTATCATTAAGCGGGAAATGACATTTAGGATAGGTATTAGAGATTTTCATGGAGCATACTGTTTGAGAATGTTGAGTTAGAAGGAATTTGCCTAGGTGAAACTCTTAAAAATGATGTTTTAGAAATAAAAACTAACTCCCAGTAGCCAAAGCTGGAATGATTTGAGCAAAAAAAAATATAATGTAGTAGTGGGTAACTGGATTATAACCCAAAGTATAAAATAACCATGAATCTACACTGATATAAATGATAAATTTTGTTTATATAAATGTACAATAGGAGAGAAGGGACAAATATATTCTGTAGAGAAGAATTTCAAATAATAATTGGAATTGCATTACTCTTCCCCTTAGGGGGTAGAGTTTCACCATCTCCATTTGAGGATGGACTAGACTTAGCGACTAACTTCAAAAAATAGAGTGTGGAAAACTATTATAAGTTTGCAGAGGAGAAGACTGGCAGACACTTTTAACCAATGCTAAAAATTAACATTAGCAGTATCTTTTGGTTATCTTGTAATCCATTATATGACGTGATAGTGATAGAAGAGCATATCACCTCTGTGGTATTCTTTCCCAAAACTCATAACTCCAGCCTAATCGTAAGAACATCAGACATACCCTGATGGGGGACATTCTACAGGACAGATACTAGGCCAGTACTTCTCAAGACTGTCAAGGTCATGAAAAATAAGGAAACACTAAGGAGCTGTCATAGATCAGGGGAGACTTGGGAGACCAGACACCTAAGTGCAATGTAGACCCCTGGATTGGATCCTGGAAAGGAAAGGAGACATAAATGGTAAAACTGGTGACATCCAAATAAAGTCTCTAGTTAATGGTGAAAAAAGATAAAAAGTAGCCACAAGGTAGTGACATGAACTGGGGACACCTTATCTCCTTTGTTGGAATTTAAGTTGCTTTTATTCAAGACTTAAATACTTTCACTTGTTTCCCCACTAAATTGAGATCTATGTGTAGGACATGCTCCCTGCTGAGTCCCAGGCACTAGGTCAGACCTTGGTATATAGTAGGGTTAGCCCCTTTCATTAAATGAATGAATTTAATAACGAAGGAACAATAGTCGTAAACTCTTCCAGAATTTAGAGAATGCAACTGCAGGCTTGAGTTGTTTTTGTGTCTGTGTCTCCTTGCCCAGGACGAGTGGAATTCATTCTTTAACATTGTGTTAATGCACAGTTCTACCCTGGAGTTTTCTAGATTGATGGAGAAAACATACCCCCAAACACC